AACTTCAATCGCTTAATAAGTACTTGAGTCATTCACTAGAGAATTTAACCATGAACTGACAGTGACCCAGGAAAATCTGCCAGCCTTTTGCTCAATGCTGAGATGCACAGAAGACTTCATTCCATCCGACGCATATAAAGTTTACACACATTTCCCTACTGAAGGTATTTAGTTTCATTGTTTTACTACAACTAAGAATGCTGTAATGGACATCTCTATACATAGCTCCTTGCACATATGTGCATTAGGCTAATACTAATGTAGATACTAATGGTAACACTTGACTGTTTTCCAACTACATGCTTTAACTTGGTCATGAATATGAATTCATTTTAGTGAGCAGAGCCAGGACTTGAATCTAAGCAAGGTCAACCACTGGGCCAAACACTTCCCTTTCAACACTGTGTTCATTCATAGAGAATGAAGCTTTAAATTTTAACAAATATATGAATTTTTAAAAATGATCTGTGATTATTCTTGTCTGAAAAATCCATTTCTAATAAAGTTTTGCTTTTTCTTCAGTTAGGCCTTCATTGTATTTGAGATTAATTTTTGCAATAGCAAGAAGTTTTACTCTTTGATATGGAGTCCCAACTGTTCCCTTAATACTTGCAATTTGTTATTTTCCCAACAATGCGCCATGCCGTGTTTTAAAATTCATTTATTTATTTGGAAGACAGAGACAAAGTGAGATTTCCCATCTGCTGGTTCATTCCCAAGGCAGGGCCAGGTGGAAGCCAGGAGCCCAGAATTCAATCCAGGTTTGTAGGTGGCAGGGAGCCATGTACCTGAGCTGCCTCCCAGGGTGTCCATTAGCTGGCAGCTGGAATCAGGAGTACAGCCAGGACCTGAACCCAGGTACAGATAAGGGATGCAAGCATCCCAAGTGGGGTCTTAACTGTTATGCCAAAGACCTACCCCTATGCCACATTTTTAAAATGCCAAACTGTTATACATGATTAGCATTTTTATGGGATACCTATTATGTTCTTCTGATTTATTGCTAACCAATACTTCAGCTTCAGAAGTTTTGCTATTCAGGAAGCCAACCTTCCTGTTTGCTCTTTTCTTAGGACTGTCTTGAGTATTTTGGGAATTTCACTTTTCCACTTGAGTAACATATTACTCCAGGCTCTATGTAAAGAATTCCAGTCAATATCTATGGAAAGTTCTAATCAGTATTGCTCCTGTCAACACATACGCTGATAACAGCCTGAGAAAATCAAATGGTTTGTCACCACTGTGGATGCCAGCAGGAAAAAACAGACTCATTAGAATTATGGCCTCCACCTCTGATGGCCTTCCAAACCCCTTCGGTAACTGCCTGAGACTAAATCACACCTAGAAGCCTAGTTGCACCGAAGTTCAGAAAACATGTTTTAGCTTCAGAGTCTCTGCAGTGTAAGATGGAGAATAGGCTGCAGCCTGCTATTGGGTTAGGAAATCAGCTTAGTGGGACACAAATGGCATTTTGTCAAATGCAACGGGGCAGAACACAACTTATCAGTGTTCCCAGCAGTGGTAAATATGGAGATTCTTTAAAGAATTCAGAGAAAATGCAAACTGTGGAAAACACCATGCATCGGCACATGTTTGCACAGCAGGTAAGATGAACTTGGGATGCCTGCATCCCATTATCTGGGTGCTTGGGTTCAAGTCCGAGTTCTACTTCTTTTTCTAGCTACCTGTTAGTGTGCAACCTGTGAGGCAGCACTTGATGGCTCAAGTATTTGACTGAATTCTGGTTGAATTCTGGGTTCATAGCTTCAGTCTGGACCAGCCCTGCCTGTTGTGGGCATTTGGGGGGGTGAATCAGTAGATGGAAGATCTCTTTCAAATATAAATAATTAAAAAAAAAACTATGCATGGATTTCAAATTTTTTTGTGCCCAGATTTATCTTTTAATTCTTTTCCATAAATCTTCTGAAGTCCCCTCATATTGTTTCATGACAATTACACAATTACATATGCATATATATGTATATATCTTTTATATATGTATATATTTGTAGGAGGAGAGAGAATTAATTCACAGAGTGAGTACCCCTTATCCAAACGCTTGGGAGCAGACTGGAAAACCTGCATACTCCTAATGAGAGACCTTGGGTGTGGGGCCCAAGTCTAAACCCTGAATTCATTTGCCTTTCACATATGCCTTACATATATAGCCTGAGGAAATGGATCTTAGCACTTGTATTTGGATTGCAACTCATCTCATGAAGTAAGGTTTAGACTTTTCTACTTGTGATGTCACATCAGTGCTCAAAAATTTTTAGCTTTTAGAGTTTTTTTTTCCCAAGACTAGGGATGCTTAACCTATAGAAAAAGTATTTCTTACTGTGGGCCACAAAAATTCTTAAGGCCAAAGTACCAGAAAGGTGAAGAGATGCTGTGTGCCAATTCACAGAAATCTACTACCTACCATCTCCCAGATATGAAGGAAGCTTCCTTGTGGTCCTAGCCTGCTAATGACTTGATTTTTAACAGGTGCTTGGTTTTTTCAACTATTTCTGTACCTACTGAGGTGATCTCCTTTGATGTACTCACTGATGGATTTTCCATAATGCCTCATCTCTGCATTTTTCTAAAAATATTTTAAAAAATATTAATTTGAAAAGCAGAGTTGAGAGAGAGACAGAGACAGAGAGACCAACTGATCTTCCATCTGCTGGTTCACTCTCCAAATGGTTGCAACAGCTGGGGCTGGACAAGGCCAAAGCCAGGAGCCTGAAACTGCATTTGGTTCTCCCACATGGGTGCAAAGGCCAAGCACTCGGGCCATCTTTTGCTGCTTTCCCAGGTGCAATAGCAGAGAGCTAGATTAGAAATGCAGCAGCCAGGACTGGAACTGGTGCTCATATGGGATGTTGGCATTGCAGGAGGCAATGCCAGCCTCTCTAACAATATTTTCTAGTAATCTTTTGTGCCTATGACTCCCCAGCAATGCTACAACCTCTATCTCACACATTACCCATAATTTCTAGCAGGGTCTGTATTGACCCACCTTCTCAGAGGTGCTGCTGTACATCTTAACCTATTTTGTAAGGACAAAAGAAAAGGCCTGCTTTTGTGATCTTTTATTAAATTCTCAAGAAGACAAAATACCTGCATTTTATTTAGCCAAGAAAAATCTACTCCTTTGTACATGCCTTTGCAAATTAAAGATCAGTGAGCCAGAACTTGTATGAAGGAGTAAGTTCTAATGGGAAGCTGTAATTCTGATATAATGGTGCTAATCATTTCCGTACATATTTGCTGAGACTGTAAATCATCTACTGAAAGTATGTTTGTCAACTGCCTGCCACAGAAACACCTGTCTGGAGCGCAGACACTCAAGCAGGGCCCTAGGAACTTTTTCTTCTGGGGTGTCTTATTTTATGTGTCCATCCTTAAATATTAAAGAACGCCCACCATGCTTAAAAGCAGATGAATGACAGGAGCTTCTCAGCAGGCCAGGTTTTCACTGACAACAGCAGGAAACTGCAACCTGGTGTTTTCTTTTTCTTTCTTTTTTTTTTTTTTTAAGTGATTCCCAACAGTTTAATGTAACTCCAAGACAAAAGACAAAGCATGACTACGACTACCTTTCCACACATACACAATATGCACATGTGAGCTTATAAATTTTTTTTTTGACAGGCAGAGTGGACAGTGAGTGAGAGAGAGACAGAGAGAAAGGTCTTCCTTTGCCGTTGGTTCACCCTCCAATGGCCACCGCGGCCAGCGCACCATGGCCGGCGCACCGCACTGATCCGATGGCAGGAGCCAGGTACTTATCCTGGTCTCCCATGGGGTGCAGGGCCCAAGCACTTGGGCCATCCTCCACTGCACTCCCTGGCCACAGCAGAGAGCTGGCCCGGAAGAGAGGCGACCGGGACAGAATCCGGCGTCCCGACTGGGACTAGAACCCGGTGTGCCGGCGCCGCAAGGTGGAGGATTAGCCTAGTGAGCCACGGTGCCGGCCGAGCTTATAAATTTTAATTAATAACTCTTTACACTTCAGAGACCAAAAAATTATCAAAAAGCTCTAACATAATTCACTACAACAGCCCCCCTTCTCACCCTACAGTTAATAATATTACCTCTAAAATAAATGTATTCTATAATTTTTTCTGTTAAAATCAGCTCATAAATTTACAATGTTGTTATTAGTTCCCAAGACTAATATAAATTCACCCCATTTTTCTACAACGAAATGATTATGTTTTACAAGGAAACTAATTCTGAACTGATCAAGCCCTTGCTGCTAAAAACCTTCTGTTTTTTTTCTCCTGATGTTGTGTGCATCTAAATTATACCCAGTGTCTTTCAAGGTCTCTGTGGAGTGAGGGTTTTCCATAACCTGTTACTAAGACCTTTGACCCTGCAAACTCTAGCATGTCTGACATTGTTCTTGTTGCTTTTTAGAAGATAAGATTTAATTCTGACTAGAATTTAAAATTTCATAAAATCATCTACAGTAACAAAATATGCTCTCTATCAAACTCTATTAAGAGTTTTCCAACAATTTAATTGATGCAAATGTACATGTGTGCATTTGCTCTACACTCAGTATTCTTTAACAGTTATTGTCAAATGGAAAAATCATCTGTTCTTATAAAAGTAACAAACAAAAAACCAGTAATTAGTAAACTTTGGTAAAGGATTGTCTAGAGAGACAAAATTTAGTGACACATTTGACAAGAACAGCTGACAGCCAGACAACACTCCCTCCCTCCGTTCTTCTACCTCCTGGCCAGGAACAGGAAACCCAGGAACAGAATGAACTGAACCCTCGCTGACTTAGCCAGAGAGACAGCGAACTCCAGTCCCAATAGAGATGACTTCCAATTATTCCCCAAATACAACCAAGCCATAGTACTGGTCATCTTAGGGTGTTGGACCCATGGGTAAGATTTTTTTAATTTTTAGTTTTAAAAATGTTCTATAATAGAATGCAGTTATTATTCTTATAATGCAAAAATAACTCTAACCAACCAAAAATCACACACACACACACATTAATTCACTGTTTTATTTTAAATAGTTGCTCATTTATGAAGAACTAAAAGTTTAAGTTCTCCCTCTCTTTTACTAAGGAGGGGTTGATGTCTAGCCTCCAAAGGGAGACAAGTAGGATTCTGCAGTTTGAAACTTTGGGTCAGATTTGTCCACCACTTACAAAAATGATACTGGGAAAAGTCCCACAGTCTTCTGGGTGGGAGAAACAGTAACATTTATGAGATCCTTACTGTGTGGCAGCACAGCAGAGAGAAATGAACAGGAGTAGAAATGGCCCAGTTATGAAGAGCCAATTTATAATCCGGGGCATAAAGTACACAAAAGTGCTTCAGCAAGTACAAAGGGACAGATGACATAGGGCAAACCGGGCGGTCGCCGCAGGAGAGACCAGGACAGTCTCTGCAGCCTGTTCAGGGGTGACATCCTCAGCATCTCCAGCGGCAGCCACAGCAACACCTCGTCCTTACCCCTAATGCACTTCCTTTCTCTCCAAGACATTAGCAGAAGCGGGAATTCAGAAAGCACAGGAATTTTCCTCGTTGGGAAAGTGACCTAAAGCAAAGTGGCCCTAGCTCGTGGACTCCAGATTTGTACTCCTACTGGAAACAGTATTCAAGTGTCACACGGGAACAGGTATTTTCAACATGATTTTGGGAAACTAAGGATGATTCTGATTTATCTGGAAGTGGAGAACACTTAAAGGAAAGTCAACATTTCCCAGGAAACCACTGGGCCCTCCATTCTGACCTCACAGGTAGGGCAAGAAGACTCAAGCTCTCCAGTGTTGCTTAAGGCTCTCCTGGCACCGTACTGAAGGCAAAACAAATCAAATGTTAGGAAAGACGATTCTCCTTCCTCCCCCAAAACAGCACCTTCTTCTGTCTGTCTTACATCCAACTGTTCACCACGGCACTGTACCTTGAGAAACCATTAGCAACTAATGACGCTGAAGTTACTGCTGGTACTGAAGTCTCGGAAGGGGGTTTCTCTGGAGGTGTACATGAGGGGGAACTGAAGGAACTGCACTACTTACGTAGCAGGGAGAGTGAACAGGGCCCCAGCCGCACCTGACTTTGCGGCGCACTGCTTTGGCACAGCTGCCTTTTACCAGTGAGTCTTGTGTGGCACTAAAGGCACAAGGAGCCCAAGGCAACGATAGGCTAGGGACCAAGCTGAGGACTCAAATTTCATTGGCTGAGCTCAGGCTGAGGGCTTCGGGACACACAAACGAGCTTATTCCTGGGCAGACAACTGAAGTGCTAACACCAACGGGCCCAGAAGAGCTGGGTGAGGAGCACGGGATTGGGCAGATGTCAAACATGGTCGAAGGTTAAATGTGAAGGATCGCTGATCTCAGTCCACTGAAATGGTGGGAAATTCTACACACTGCTTCTAGATCCTAAGGAAGGAAAAGCCACAGGATCACACTTGTAGATATGGATCAGCCGACCACTCTGGAATGTCGACTTGAGTTATTTGGCCAGAGGTCATGATTCTGGGTTGAACTTGAGTTTTGCACAAATTAACAACTATTCCCTCCATGCAGTGACTTTGTCTCCTGTGAAATCTCTTCTCCGACTTCCTTTGTGCCTGCACATCTGTCCCCGCTTGGCACCGTCTCTGTGCAGCGTCAGACTCCAAGGAGAGCCCTCCCTGGCCAGAGGCAGGAAAGACGATGCTCTGCTTCGGAGGAGGAGTCCACGGCTGCTCACTTGATCATCTGGGTCTCCTCATCTGCATCGTAAAACTCTTCCTCTTCCTCACTCTCACTCCCCAGAGTGCTGCCCTTGTCTGCTGGCTGGAACGGGAAAGGAGGAAGGGGCAGTGAGATGTCACCATGACACGGCTAAAGCTCCTCAGCTGACAAGCGGATTTTTATGACATCCACTCCCCTAAGCAGCAGCCCGGAGTGCTGGGAGGAAGCCAGCGAATCACCGGCCATCCTTATTTCTGAGGCAGCGCTGCCGGAGCCCACCCTGGCTTTCCAGCTGTGAGGCTCAGGTCTACTCAGTGCAAACACCCTTGTTCTCCGCAGCCAGCATCACCAGGCAGTCGATGGGAACGATGAGGAGCCCCTTCCCCCTACCTGTGGCAGGTCCAGGGTCTGTAAAGACAGCGCTTCCTCCCCCAGGCGCCGGTAGGAATACACCTGCAGGTCAGAAACCGTCTCGAGCAACGGACTGTTGAGCGTCTCCGGCAACAGCAAACTCAGGAGGCCCGCGGCCAGGCCGGTGGCTCCAAAGACAACGAAGGGTAGAGACCACTGCACGTATTTCTGAGGGATGAGGAGCAGGAGGAAAACACAATCCCAATGTTAGCAGCCTCCCAGCGGAGGGACAGCCCTGCTTCTTACCCACTGTTGCTCTGCTCATGGAGATTTATTCTGGGAAGCTGAGGGGAGATTCCAGGCCTGGAGAGGGGACTGCATGAACCACAGGCAGCAAGGGGAGGTGGTGCAGAAGCACAGGACTGATCTAGGCACAGGCTGGGTGTTGGGGAAGAAGAGGCCGCGGCTGCGTCTGAGCAGAGAAGGCCAGCACAGAGCCAGGGTGCACAGGGAGCCTGGTGTCCAAGTGAGCAGCTTATAACATAGTGACCTTCACATTTTCATTACTAGGAGACACTGCAAAATACTGATGGCGAACTTTAAAGTTCTCAACCTTGGACTTGTCCAACTACTCCATGTAACTTGACCCTATAACTGATAGGCCCAGGGATGAAGGTATAAAGACTCAGAAAGTGGCCTGGGTTGTGGTGCAGTGGGTTAGGCTGCCACTTGCAACACCAGCGTCCCACTTAGAGCACCGCCTCAAGTCCTGGGTGCTCTGCTTCTGATCCAGCTCCCTGCTGATGTACTTGGGAAAGCAGAAGAAGATCGCCACGTACCAGCCACCCATGGAAGACCTGGGCTGGAGTTCCAGGCTCCTGGTTTTGGCCTGGCCCTGCCCCAGCTGTTACAGCCATTTGGAGAATGAATCAGTGGACAGAAGACTTCCATCTCTCTGTCTCTTCCTCTCTGTAAATCTGCCTTTCAAATACATAAAACAAATCTGTAAAAAACTCTATCACACATGGCAGGCACTTGCACAGCAGTCAAGATGCCACTGGGATGCTCAAATCCCATACTGGACTGCCTGGGTTCAAGTCCTGGCTCCACTTCTGATCCAATTTCCTGTTAATGTGCACCCTGGGAGGTAGCCGGTGATGGCTCAAGTACTTCAGTCCCTGCCACCCAATATGGGAAACCTTGAGTTCCAGGCTCTCAGCATTAGCGTGGCCAGCCTCAGCTGTTGTGGGTGTTTGGAGAGGGAAACCGCAGATGGGAGATCTGTCTCTCTGACTTTCAAATAAGTAAATAACATTAATTAATTAGAAGTTAAAACAACAACCAAACTCTATCACATCTATTTGGCTTGTCTACTACTTAAATTGGATGCAGTAAAGGGCCAGTGTGCAAGCAATTGCTTCAGAGATCTGGAAGATATTCTTAAGAAAATTTAAATACATCATCTCCCCTCAGACACTTTTTCCATGATTTTTCAAAAGTGGAGAGAGGATGAAAAGAAAGGACAGAGGGGGAAGGTGTGAGAGGAGAAAGAGAACGGGGGTGGGGGAGGGAAGAGGCAGAGACCTTCTCATTTCCCGCCCCCTGCATGCAAACCCAGGTCCAGCTGTGTGGGTGTGCAGCTAGAGCCAGAGGAGCACAACACTGCCCCCTCTTGCGAGCTTGGCAAGTGGTAGCAGGCATGGCGCTGGGCGCTGGGCAGCCAGCCAACCTCAGATATCTTTAGCAATAAACACCAAATGTCAGACACATTCTACAGAGTGAAACAGACAACTAATGCAACCCCTTCAGAGGGACCTAAAAGGAGTGTGAGATGCGGGCAGAAACTCAGGAAACGCAGTGAACTGCCCTCGGAAACACACAGGCCACCAGGGCATCTCAGAGTCATGCCAGGAGGCGGCAAGTGGAGCCGCTCGAGGATGGAGCGGCTGCCTCCGCAACGGGTCCACGGCCTCGCACCAAAGCTAGCCACCCTTCTAGTCCTGGCTGGCGAGGCACGCAGCAGTGTGCACAGGGCCCCTGGGTTCCTTCACGGAACCTGAGTGTTTCAAGAATGGGAGGACTTCGAGCTGTCATTTAGTCCCATCCCCCTTTCTTTCAACTATGCCATTCAGATAATGTCAAAAAAAAAAAAAAAAGTGAGTGAACAAACACAGTCCTAGAACAGAAAACCAGGAGAAATACTCCAAAGTGGTGTGCCTTTGGGGAGAGACTTCACTGCCATCTGCAGCATGAGGATCGTGGTGATGGCACACAGCGAGTGCCAGGTGTGGTGCCCGTCACACGGCAGAGGCTGATGGGCCTCTACCAGAACTGGTTAGCTGATGAATGGGGACAGGGAGGGAGCTCACTGGCATCAGCTGACCCTCCTCTGAACACGGTCAAGAAACCACTAGACCTGCTGGGGAGAAGCAGCCTAGGCAAGAGCTGAGGTTCCTAATCTAAAAGGCCCAGGTTCATGGTTGTGTCAGCTGATCAGAAACGGCATCTGTCGTGACTTCTTTCCACTCACAAGCACAGCATTTCCAAAGCAGATTAAGAAAAACAAAACCAGGAGGTACAAACCAACCAGTGAGGGGACGAAGGGAGCAATGATGCCACCAACTCGGGAGAACATGGAACAAGTCCCAAGCCCAACGTTCCTGGAAGACACGAGCAGACACAAAGTCAGTAAGTTCTAGAGGGCAACCGAGAGACCCTGGGGGGCTGGTGTTGTGGTACAATGGATTAAACTACTAATGAGACATGTGCATCCCACAGGGGGGTGCCTGGTTCCAGTCCCAGTTGCTCTACTTCTGATCCAGCTCTCTGCTAATGCACTTGGGAGAGCAGCAGAAGGTGGCCAAGGTGCTTGGGCCTCTGCCACCCAGTATAGTGTTTTGAGTTCCTGGCTTTTAACTGGTCCAACTGCACCTGTTAAGGGCATCTGGGGAGTGAAACAGCAGATGGAAGATCTTTCTCTCTGTCTGTCTCATCTTTCTATCACTCCACCTTTCAAATAAATAAATCCAAAAAAAAAAAAAAATGGGCCTAGAATAAAACTAGGGTACTTCAAAAAGCACATGGAACATGGAATGGAAAGATAAGTCTACTTTGGTGCAAGAAGATTTTGAATGCCATGCACAGTTTTTCTTTAACCACATAGTTCATGAACTGTCAGAAGTACTCTTGTCTATCTTAGAGGGGAAGCACAGGATCCCATGCAGCAGTGCTGCCCGTCAGAACTTTCCATGAGGCTGGAAATGTTCTATAATTACACTATGCAGTATGGAAGCCACTAGACACATACAACTACGGGTGCTTGACATGTGGCCTGTGAGGAGGAAGAAGTGCGTTTTTAATTGATTTAATTCTAATTAAACTTGAACAGCCACATGAGGCTCACTGGACAGCACATCTATAGAGGATGTTGCGAAAATGAGCATCTGAGCGTTTCTTACCAAATGTCTCACAGGTCTCTGTCTCTTAGGTCTCCTGTCAGTGAATGCAGCCACAGATACCAAGCTTCGTGATCTGAAAGGTCTGCCCATTTATTTAAACTCAACTGATCAACTACAGAAGGGTCAGGCAGATAGGAACTGACTGAAAAGGTATTTTCAGGAAATCCTTCATAGGGAGTGTAGGCAGGAAAAGAGGGGAAAATGGGAGGCAGAGGTCATGGTTTTCAACAGGGTGGCCACACATCACTCTGTTATCCCACCCTAATTGTTCATCTTGCCCATGCTTGCTCTCCAAAGTGTCCAGTTTGGACAAAATGGCCAACAGCAAGACAAAGTGGATTGTAGGAATAACTAGGAAATGACCAGCCAGTCGCCAACAACTGATCTTTTCTGGGAAAAGGAATTTCAAATTAACAGGCAGAGAGACCCACAAGGCCTCCTGCACAGGGAAAGGAGAGGGAGGGACATATTTGGAAAGATCCTGAGAGACCTGGGAAACGGGTGCTGAGGATGGACTGGCCCGGCCCAGGAGGCAGCTCTGCAGACCACAGGCTGCACCCCACCCTCCAAATTTGGGAGTGTGTTTTGTATTCAGATTATTTTATGAGGGGAAGTTAGCATGGAATATGTCCTTTTGAATATAAATACATCCTACTCATCAAAAAACACATATTACATGAATATTTAAATGAAATATTCAATGAATATTGTATAAAATGATCTTTTAATTGTGTATATTTTGTGCTCAAATATCAGTTCTGTGAGAACAGGGACCTCGCTCCTTGTCTTTTTAGAAAAATATTTACAATTGCTTCTCAGCCTTTTGGCTAAGCTCAAGTATAAAAATATTTATTTATTTACTTGAAAGGCAGAGTTACACAGAGACAAGGAACAACTAGGAAATGACCAGTCTGGTTCACTCCCCACATGCCCACAACAGCCAGCACTGGGCCAGGTTGAAGCCAAGAACTCCTTCTGTATCTCCCAAGTGAGTGCAGGGGCCCAAGGACTTGGGCCATCGTCCACTGCTTTCCCAGATGCATCAGTAGGGAGCTGGATATGAAGCAGAGTAGCCAGGACTCGAACTGATGCCCATATGGAATGCTAGTGTCGCAGGCAGCGGCTTAACCCACTGTGCCACAATGGTGGCCCCTCTTTGTCTTCTGTTACATGCCTGACGCTGGATGGGAGCTGAACCAATGAAATCCATGAAAATAAAACCAGCCCTGGAGCAGTGCCTGGATGATGGGCTGTGCCTAGTGGGAAGTGCTCCTCTTCCAGCTGAGGAAAGGGAATGCAGCCCACAACAAAGCTCCAGTGCCTCGGCCAGGCGGGCAGAGAGCAGTCCGCAAGGCAGCTGAGTCACAACAGCGTGCAGAGTCACTGCGGGCCCCGCCTGACTCCAGCTGGCCCCGGGGCGGGAACTGGGCCTCTGCTGATGCAAGCACGGTCCAGATGTACGGGGCACACGTACCTGATGACGGTGGGGTAGAGCTCCGAGGTGTAGATATAGATGATGTTAAAGGCAGCGCTGATGGTCAGCTTCCCCAGCAGGGACAAGGAACGGCTGTTCACCACCGCGAACACGCCTGTGTCTGCAGAGGGCAAAGACAACCCCGGTGAGCTCGACAGAACCTCTCCTTTCAACCACATGCTGCACTCCGAAGCAGTCAGAGGCATCCTGACCATCTCAAACAGCAAAGAGGTTCTCCAGCTGTCTACCTGCTTGGATGGTTCAGAGATCACACACAGACACACACACAGATATTTCCTCTGTCTTTTGGTTACACCCATGAAGCCTTACATACTGCCTGGCTTTCAGGGCCACGGAAGTTATACTCATTCCTGAATGATAGAGCCCCCTGACACATTCTGTACTGTAGGAAAGTAAGCTTCCTGGATATAGACAGAGGGAGAGAGGCAGCTCTCACCTACTGGCTCACTCCCCATGTGCCCGCAACAGCTGGGGCTGGACCAGGCACAATTCAGAAGCTGGAGTCTCAATTTGAGCCTCCCACACGGATGGCAGGGATCCAACTACTTGAGCCATCACCTGCTGGCTCCCAGGGTGCACATTAGCAGGAAGCTGGACTTGGGAGCAGAGCTGGGACTCAAAGATAGTCACTGCACTATGGGATATGGGCCAAATGCCTACCCTATAAATACGGAACTGCTTGGAAATCCTTCCTCCTCAGCTTCTTACTTGACTTACAAATCAATATACCATGTGAGTTTCTTAATGTAATGCTTTGACATAAAATGCAAAAACATTTTATGCCAGTTCATTTCTTTATCAAAAATACCATCAATTATCATGTAGTTCTCTGGGATTCCACAAAATGTAATTATCTTCCTTTCAAACACATTTAACCCGACTCTTTCAATAATTCATTTTCCTCTACCTTCAAAATAACAATTTTCTTTTTGGAGAAAAAATTCCCATTGACTTGCTGTACGCCCTCTCTTCACAATCAGACATCTCCAGTGAGTGACCACCACTCCACATCTTCAAATGCACCTGCCCTGGAACTCAGAACAATCTGCCTCTAATACCATCCTCTCCTGGAACTCAACACACTGTTCTCATCACAAAATGCAATTGCCTCATGACCTCCTTGACATCTGCACACACAGAACACTCTCGTCCTCTTCCGCTCACACAGCGGCTCAAATGAAACATCCTCTACTTCCTCTGACTTCCGCTGGTCCGCTTTTCCAACCCATTCCACTGGCAAGCCTCAGATAACTCCCTTGGGGTCACTTATTTTCCAAAATACACCTGGAGCTATCTTAGGCAAGGCTGGTGCCTTGTGTGCATGTGTGTTCCTGACAGCACTGCACACCTCTGTTCTCTAAATACTTGTTGAACTAAGAAGCGGAAGAACAACAAATTATGTGGAAAGAACTGGTGCTCATCCTTCGCCCCTTGTATGGAGAGAGACATACAAGAAGATGCCCCGTCCCAGCACACAAGTGCCAACCTCTCCTGCTCACCATGAAATCAATCTTCATCTGCCTGAAAGACAGCAGCCCGGACACAGACACCCCAGCACCAACGGACTCAGTCTTGGGGGCGGCTTCCTCCTCTGCTGCCGTTTGGAAGAAACTGGCTCTTTTCAATTCTGAATATGTATTTTTAAGCCACATGGTGCTTCCAGAAAAAGAATCAAGGCTTTCAGCAACTCCAAGACCAACTGTGGGACTTTTGAGGTCTAACAACTTTTTCATTTAAACCAATGAGTGCAAACTAAATTTACTGGTTATTTTTTCAGGAAACTGAGTCAGTCAGGAAAAAGGTATTGGGGTAGCAATGAAGCAAACACAAATGTGCTTGACTGCAAACGATCTCTGGCTTCCACAAGCACGGGAAGGCATCTTTCAGAAGTGCATGGCAGCACCTGACAGTATCTTGACAGGGCTAGAGGTCTGCCAGCCTGAAATTTAAATTCAAATGGCAAGTCATGGGAAGCTCATCACTGGAACATTCACGAGATCCAAAGCTGGAAGAAGGCTCCCGCGTGCGGCTTGAGAAACTTCCTGCCACAGCTCCTGTGGGGAGCCTGGCTCCCACCACCAGCCCGCAGTTGCTCTCCTCAGTCTGACACCCCAGCTGATGCTCACACTTCTCCCTGTCTTCCAGACAACACCCTCAAACCAGGCAGAACTCCTGTCTTCCCCAAGGCAGCCCACATCAATTTCAGACAGCTTTATCTATTAGAAAAGAATTTCTTATCCTTGGGAGACTTGCGCTCTGGAGCTGCTGGGCTGCTCATCATCTTGAGCTAGTACTTGGGATGGCTTTGCAGCCACTGGGCTGGTCCCTGTTCTTCATTATCTGAAAATTACATATTATTGGGCAATTCTCAATGAGTGCTCAAAATTGTTTAGGAAAAAAAAGGGATTTAAAAAAGGTGAATTAAATAATCTTTTCTAAGAAAGAGAATTCTTAAAAGTATCCTTTAATGTAATGAACTCATGGAAATTATAAATTTATTCCAATGATGTAACTACTACAGAAATTATTTTCTGGAAAATTTCTTAGTGCCTTTTTGGGAGTCAGCAAAATAAAATGTCTTGGTATGTCACAGACACATTTCACTGGCCCAAAACAGTGTTCAACTTGGTCACCCACTTCACTCATCAGGGAATCATAAGCAAATTTTATTTTTATAATTTATTCATTTTAATTTATTTGAAAGGCAGAGTAGCAGCAGCAGCGGCAAAGAGAAAGAAATCTTCCATCTGCTGACTTACTCTCCAAATGCCCACAATAGCCAGAGCTGAGCCAGACTGAAGCCAGGAGCCCAAAACTCCATCTGTGTCTCCCACCTGGAAGGCACAGAGCCAAGTACTTGAGCCACCACCTTCTCCCTCCCATGGTGTGCATCATCAGAAGGCTGGATTGGAAACAGGTGGGACCTGAACCCCAGCACTCTGATATGGGATGCAGGCATCCCAAGGGGAGGCTCACTGCTGCACCACAAGGCCTGCTCCTGTAAGTAAATCTTTATTTTTCATATGTTAAAAATATTTAAGATACTGCTTCAAACATCCACATCCCATATCAGAGTGCCTGGGTTCAAGTCCGGGCTCCATTTCCAATTTTAGCTTCCTGGGTGGCAGCAGACATAACTCAAGTATTTGGATCCTCTGCCTCCCATGTCGAAGACCTGGATGGGGTTCTAGGCTCCCATCTACAACCTGACCCAAACCTAGCTGTGTGGGCATTTGGGAAGTGAACCAGCAGATGGAAGATCTCTCTCTCTCTCTGTCTCTTTCTCTTTGAAGTAAAACAAAATTAAAAAAAAAATATTTAGAGAAAAAAAAATTGTGTATCACATGAGTCTGTTAAGGTCATTCATTAACTCTAATAGATTTGTTTCTATATTCCTTAGGATTTTCTATGGAGATGCCCACACAGAGTCTGGTAAATAAACACAGTTTTACTTCTGCTCCAATTCGGACATTTTTCATCTCTTTTTTATGTCTTACTGCATTCTCTAGTGTATTCTGTGCAATGTTCCACAGAAGAGGTGAAAAGAGACTCCCTTTTCTTCTTCCTGATCCTGAGGAATAAGCATCCAGGCTTTCACCATTAAGTGTAAGGTTAACTGGAGGTTTTCCTTTCACATCCGTTTTCGGATTAAGCAAATCCTCTTCCATTTCTGGTTGCTAATAGTTTTTATAATGAGTAACTGAATTCTGATGAGTGCTTTTTCTGCTTGCACTGAAATGATCAGATGACTATTTTTCCCTTTTTATTTTTAATATGGTGAGTAACACTGATTGGCTTTTGAATATTATACCCGCTTTCTATCTGTGGGATAACCCTTGCTTGGTCAGATACAATGCGCTTTCTAGGTGTTACTGCTAATGCTTTAAGAACTTTTCATCTATATTAATGAGGGATATGAGTCTATACTTTCATTTTATTGTAAAGTCTGTTTGGTTTAAGCATCAGAGTTAATTGCTAACCTCACAGACTAAGCTGGGAGTTTTCTGTCCACTTTTATTTTCTGGAGAAGTATACAGAACTGGCATTACTTCTTCTGTGTTTCACAGAATAACCATCTGGGCCTGGAATTCTCTTTCTGGGAATGCTTTAAACTATAATTCAATTTCTTTAACAAATATGAGGCTAGTCAGGTTTCTACTTGTTTCTGAGTAAGCTGATAGTTTCTGTCTTTCTAGGAATTTAATCCATTTTGCCTAAGTTGAATTTACTGGCATAACAATGTTCATAATATTTCCTTATTATGCCTAAACATTCCATAGTGATGTCCCCTCTTTATTCCTTCTACTGGTAATTTGTGTCTTCTCTCTTCTTTCCTTATTAGTTTGGTTACAGACTTTTAAATTTTATTGGTCTTAATAGGCTTTTGGTTTCACTGATTTTTCTCTACTGTTTTTCTGTTTTTATTCCACTGATTTTTTGGCTCATATATTTATTAACATCTTTCTGCTTGCATACATTTAATTTGCCATACTTTTTTTTTTAACTCACCCACTTTCTTAAGGTAGAAGCTTGGAATATTAATTTGATCACTTCCCTCTTTTTCTTGATTTTTAGAAAATTATATTCATTTCCCTTTATATTACTTTACCTGCATCCTATAAACTTTGATATAATATACTTTAATCATTGGTTAATTATGAACATGCTTTTAGGAGAGTGTTGTTTTGTATCCAAGCAACTGGGGGTTTTCTAGACATTGTTGTTACTCATATCAACTTTAATTCCATTTCAGTCAAAGACTTTTTGTTTAAGTTTTCAGTCCTTTTAAATTATTGAAACTTGTTTTACGGCAATGAATATGGTCTCCACTGGTAAACAGTCTGCATTTACTTCAAATGGAATGCATATTCTGCTGTTTCAGGGTAGAGGGTCCCACAATTGATTAAGTCACGATGGATATGTATGCTCCTGTATTTTCAGTCTACTTTTTCTCACTCACTGAGAGAGAGGGGTCCCAGGTATCCAACCAAAATTCTGGATTTGTCTGTCACTTTAGTACCTGAAGCACTGTTTCACATATTTTCAATCAGTTATTAGAGGCAAACACATTTAGGTTTGTGACAGCCCCTTGATAAACCG